GGGTTGAGGAGGAAAAGCTTTCTCTGCACGTTCCCACCCACACCCTCGCTGCGCCCCACCAAACACAGGCTATCTCCCGGGCCCAGTCCAACTTCCCCTTTGTTCTCACCTTGGCTTATTCTGAGGTAGAGCCTTAGCATCAACGGCAAACATTTTGGAAATGAAGATAATAACTGGAGCAGTATCTTCACTTCCACATTTCAGAAAAGCTAAACAAACAGGAAGCAACAATGTCACTTTCTTTCCCATTATTAAAAAGCCAGATTTTTCTGAAAACAATTAGGAGGTTTAGAGCACAGCATCATCTAGATACATTAGCAACCTGTAATCTTTTACAACTATGATAAAAAATTCCATTTATAAAAGTATAAAATTGCTAGAAAAATAGCAGAGCAAGAGTAACAGAACTGGCAGAAACGAGGAAAGAAAAGCAAACGCGACAGGGTGGAAGGAGGGCAGGGGGAGCGCCTGCACAGAGCCGCAGCTGGAGCTGGGCTTACCCATCCCCTGTGAGCCCCCGCAAATGTTTCCAGAGGAGAAAGGACAGAACTGAGGAGTATTTCCAAAGGTCAGTAGTCAACAAGGTAGCTTGTTAATAAAGTACATAAAAATCAGTAGCTTTTCCAATTCCCCACGAAAAAAGAGTTAGAAAATAAAACAGATAAAAATAACTTAGTATGATAGTAACAAAAAAAAAATCTAAGAAATGAATTGAGACCCACTGCTATAATGAGGTCAATTTTCCCTAAATCTATAAATTTTAACAATTTCCTGTCAACATATTGACATTTCTTCTTAACCTACACTGGAGGTATAAAACCACTGGGTAGTAATTTTTAACTCACCTCACATCAAAATAATTTACACATAAAAAATTCAACAGTAAAATTCACAGAAGAAAAATACCCCAGGAAGGAAGAATTAGCTATCTATCAGAGTTCTTGCCAGGGAAAACCCTGGAAGACTCTGAGGAACAGAGTGACATGCGCTGACTCAGACTTGAACAGGATCACTCTGGCTGCAGCGCTCAGAAAACACTAAAGTCAATCAAGAACACAAGCAGGGTACCAGTTAGAAAGCTATTATAGCAACCAGGTGAGAGAACCAGGTTGGTTGGTCCAGGGAGGCAAAAGCGGCAATGCTGGAAAGTAGCTGAAATTCTGGGTTTGTTTCAAAGGAAGAGGAAACAGGATCTGCAGACAGACTGGATACAAGGGTGTGAGAGAAACGTGGAAATTATGAGCATGTCGTTGTTACGTAAAGCCCTGAGATTGGATGAGATCACCCGGAGTGACTGCACGAGGAAACAGAGGAGGTCCAAAGACGAAGCCCTGCTCGGGGCACCCCACAATTAAAAAGTCAGGGAGATGGAAAGGAACTGGAAGAAGAGATTAAGACTAACCAGTCAGCTCTGATGGCAAATATTTGGCTTGGCTTCTTAGCCTCCAGAGGCTATTAGAAGTTCAATCTAGAGAGTCCTGATGAAAAGTTCCAGCAAAGCAGATTTAAAAGGGCCTATATGGTCAATTGCTATTCTTACCGGACTTACATAAATAATCAGGCCAAGTTTAATGAAACTAAACTTATTTTGCAAACAAATTAGTCTTAATTTGGCTACTTGTGAAATTGTTTATCTGTGGAATTGGCCCTTTGGTCATTTAGTAAACTAGCATTCAGCAAATCGGTCTAGAGTGGCCTTAACTTAGGACAATCAGAAGTATGTGACACAGCATGTTCAGTATTACCTCACCTGCTTTCAGTGCCTGCGTTTCCGGTGGAAGAGAGTCAAACGTTTGCGATCCTGTGCACATCAGTTTCTCCACTCTCTCGGCAGTAATGCCAAGGGGACTAGGAAGCTTCTGACACACCATAGCTGAAGTCTGCTGTTAAGGACTCAAAGCCTTGAGCAAGTGCCCTCCGCCACGGCAGAGGCTCACAGAACGCACTAAGTACTGACGTTAATAATGTATGTCTATACAACACCTGGGCCGTAAAGCAGCAGTATTTTATGCATCACATCTCAAAATATGGATACAGTTTCAGGGAGTTCACGGATTATCTAGAGCCCAGAAAGGGTCCTCCTGATATTCTAATACTGACATCCTTTGGAACAAGTGAGGACAACAAAGCTTAGGAACTTGACTACTGGGACCTTAAAGTCCTCAAAATTTTTCATATGGTTTCAGTCTATTGTAAACTGTCATAAAACAACAATCAGCGACTAGCTATGATACAAGAAGGTCCCCCACCAGGGCTAGTGTCACTGCAGGGGTGAGGTCCACTGCTGGACCACTGCCAGGACACTGCACCCCCAGCCCATCACATGGGCACTGCTGAGTACACACAGATCAATGAAAAAAAGATAGTGAAAATCTGTAAAATTACTTTAGTTAATGTAAGCCATTTAAAGTCAAGTTTTTTTGGAAGCACTAATGTGACAGGAAATGTCAACAAGCTAAACAAAATACAGGTCTAAAATGGACCAGTGATCTAACACAAACATCTAAATTATCTGCTTACATATAAATCTCAGTCTAAAAGTTTTCACTTTTACAGATTACTAAACAAAAATTAAAAATGCTTTTTTTAAGAGAACATTCAGATTGGTATGAGCATTAATCCTAATTAGTATTAGTATATTCATTTTTAAAGTACTTAACACAGTTCCATGGTAGAACACCAAATAACCCCAGAAGACTTACTCTGGATCAGGCTGTGTTATTTTCAGAGGAACTCCTGGTTGCCAACAATACACTGTTGTTTCTTGTTTAATCCAATCTATGATTTCATTAAAAACCATTAACATAAAGGATACCAAGAACAGCTTGGGATATGGGTAACCACTGACTGCAAATAGCATTGATCTGAACTTTAGGGTCTGAATGTCGTGCTTCTCGGGCTCCAATTTTTAATCCTAAAGAAGTCACGATTTTATCAATTTTTTCTTTGTCCCTACAGTAAATATACAAGATTAGGGGCAGGGGGTGAGGGAAGAGAGAGAGATCACATAAAGATATAAAGGAGCAGTGAGGAAAAGAAACTCAACATTATTTGACACATTTATTCCTAGTGTTTTACTTTAACTACAAAAAAATAAAAATGCTTGAAGGAGCTCCTGCCATAGTAGAGAACTGCTCACCCCTACTCTTAACCTTTCCACATGAACTTTTCTTTAAAACTTCCCATGAAGCACCATCCCACAATCTTTGTCAACAAGCTATGCCAACTGGTAAAGCAGTTTTACAAATAAATACTGAAAAATCAGTACTCTGCCTCTAGAATAACTTACAAAGTAAATTCACAGAGCAAACTTTCTTTGCTAGTTGTATCAGGCAAATTATTTTCCAAGTTCCCCATTAATGAGCCTAGATATCAAGCACGTTTTCCACCACAATTCCTATTTTATTTTAGACTGAGTTTGTAAAAACAAACGTCTAATGTTTCTTTCCAACCTTTTATCTCTTCACCTCAGCACTCAATAAAATATTGCTGTTCTGACCCTCCTGTCACCCTTTCCTTAGGTTACATATACTCTTTAAATTGCCTCTGAGCCCTGTAATCAACCCCTCTGTAAAGGCTCTATTCACTTTCTCAGTCTATCTCAGCTTTCTGAAGTGTGACTCATCAAACTGAAGAGTGAGGCAAATTATACTGCTCAAAGATAAACAATTTATAATAGTCTTACTTCTTCAAGACAGCATCATACAAACTCCATATATTTTCCAGGATCAACTGTACAAATAAAGGTTTCTTTCCTTTTGCCTGTAAAAAAGAATGTACGGGCTTAAATTTCTGAATATTTAACAGGTATCTAACATATCCATTCTTGAAATGTTTTATCATCAGTATGTTTCACTTCTCCTAGAAAATATTTATTCAACAGTAAAGTACAAGGAAGTAGCTATAAGAACACTTTAAACAGTCAATAATTCACAATCAACGATAGCCCACTGTTCTCTTCCTCCGGGAACCACGGACTTCACAAACGAGACCCCTCAGGGGACACATCCTTGCAGCTGCCTTTCTACTGCCATGAAAGGAATACATGGTACCCAAGCTGACAGCTACAACTTCACCCTAAAATTTCCATGGACTTCATTCTAAAGAATGTTCCTCAACATGAAAAATGTTCAACTTCAAGGAAGAGGATATTATAAAAACAAAGAAGCTTCCCTACTGTTTCTCTTAGCAAACTATGCAAAGTAACAGCAAGAGCACTTTGAGATGTATACAAGAGATGGAAATAAACTGACACCTTCTGTCTGAAGAGCTACTGGCAAGGAATTAGGAAACTAAGTCACACATTCAATGCCTGATTTAAAAAAAAGGTCATCATGAAGACATAAAAATATATACATAAAGATGTCTCTCAAAGCCTTACTTAAAATATCAAAACATTTGAGAAACAGAAATAAAAACTATGTCCAATCTCAGGAGAATGATTATATAAATGATGATCACAAAATAAAATAATAATAGGGTACTTATTATGTGTTAGGAACTGTTCTAGACACTTTCCCTGGATATTTCATAGAATTATCATAACCACCCTATAAGTTTTACTATCTCCAATCTGCAGATGAAAACACTGAGACAAATGTCACAGAGCTATTACGTGGTGGAGCTGAGATTCAAACACAGAGTTGGATTCTCAAAGCACGCTCTTTTCCACTTCATTACACTGGCTCCTTTTTAAATATACTGTTTATAAAGAGCTTTTAGTGGCAAGGAAATATGTTCACAGTCTGATGTCAAGCAAAAAAGCAACTACGTTATATAAACGGTATAATCTCAACTAAGGGATGTACATATCTATCCAGAAAGAATGAAAGAAATGAAAACCACAGCATTAGCAGTGTTGGCTTCTGCTATTTTTTCTTTCCTGTAGCTTTATAAACTTACAAGAAATTTCTAAAAGGAATACATATGCTGTTCAATGAAAATAAATTTATAAAATCCTACATTTCAGATGAAAAAAAAAGCTTCAAGAAAAGCATCCTGCGCTCCCTTCAGCAGCACGTGTACTAGAAGTGGAACGACACAGAGAAGACTAACATGGCCCTGTGAAAGGACGACACGAAACCTGTGAAGCGCTCCACATTTTTTGGGTAAAGAAGATGTAGGGTATATATACACAACAGAACCCTACGCTCAGCCATAACAAAGAATGAAACAATGCCATTTGCAGCAACATGGACAGACCTAGAGATTATCATACTAAGTGAAGTAAGTCAGAAAGAGAAAGACAAAGATCATGTGATATCACTTATATGTGGAATCTAAACTATGATACAAATGAACTTACTTATAAAGCAGAAACAGACTCAGAAAACAAACACAGGGTTATCAAAGGGGAAAGGGTGCAGGGGAGGGATAAATTAGGAGTTTGGGATTAGCAGAAACAAACCACTATATATAAAATAAATACACAACAAGGTCCTACTGCATAGAATAGGGAACTATATTCAACATCCTATAATAATGGAAAAGAGTATGAAAAACAATATATATATACATATTTACCTGAATCATGTTGCACTAGAAACACAATATTTTAAATCAACAATACTTCAATTAATATTATTTAAAATTAAAAAAAAAAGAAAGAAAAAGCATCCTCTGAGGCAATGTGATCCAGCAGCCCTACATCACCTCAATCTATAGAATGAAGTGGTCCAGGGAGCACCTGCCTCTCCCCATCAGCACTGCATGTTGACTGGCATTGTGAGAGAAGGTCTCAGCTGAGACTAACAATACAGTGCGGGCCACACGGATGTCTAAACGAGACGCCTCTTTACGAAGGGAACATACAAATGAATGAAGTAAAATACGTGTCTTCAAGTTCAAGTGCCCAGGAGCTGAGATTTTTGCTTTAAAAAAAAAAAAAGAAAAAGAAAAGGCAGTTCTTTGTTCCCTACATTTAAAGAACTCTATTTAAACAATACCTGGATATAAGAGTCATGAACTTTAATCAAATACATACAGTACAAAAATCCCTCATAAACTGACCCGCATAAACCAAGGCCAAACGTACAGAGGTGCCGCAGTACAGGCTTTCATAGGGCAAGAATGTGACTCACAATCAACAGGGACATGTGCCACGTTACCTGATCGACTTTCATAATCTTCTTAGCCTTCATATTTATATAATAATCTCCCCACAAGGTTTTCAAAAGAACTTCCTTTTTGATGCCAGTTTTTTGACTGTAGATTTTGGCAAAGTGCTCAATTCTGAAAGAAAAGCAGGTGTTCACATTATTAATAACAACAGAAATAAGTATGAGTACAGCTAACGCTTGAGTGTCTCTGTGCCAGGCACCGTTCAAAGTGCTTTAAATGTCTGACTGAACATATTCGTTTCAACTATCCTACCAGGTAGGTACTAATTATCTCCCCCATTTTACAGAAAAGGATAATGAAGCACAAAACATCACACAGGTAATAAGTGAGGTTGGGATTCAAACCCCAGCAGGCTGGCTCCAGAACCTATGCTCCTGTCCAACCCTCCCTACGTTCATAGGAATCAGAATTCACACTATAGCTCCCTTTCCTAATCCTGCATGTGTAAAACCTGGAAGAGGAACGGTGGCCAAGGAAACAGAGCTCCAGCTGCCCATCGCAGTTGTGCCAACAATAAACTCTGTTTCAGCCCTTCACTGCTATCAGTGCCCACTGTTCACAAAGAAAATGAGATCTACAGCCAGAACCTGCCCCCCAAAAGGGCTCTTTTAGCATCCTAGATTAAACAGGAGACAGACAGATACTTACTTAACTCTCCTCAGCTCTTAGAGAAACCAGTTAGCACCAGGTCTGCTCTACTGCAAACCCCAGCCACGTGAGAGCAGTCACTTGACAAATAAGGATGCTGTATACAGCATCTGCACTGTCTGGATAAAGGACCTAAAAGAAGTATCTTTTTTACAGGAAACGGTATGTTCCTACATAATCTAAGTTTTGAGTCCAGTCTGACCGTGATATGATGAAATCCCCCCAAACCACATGCCTGTAGATTTCTACTTATACTTCTATTTTTGTCTCATGAACTTTGTTGTTATGATCATTAATCTTTTTACCACAGAAATATGTCAATTATCCATATAAAAATGATCCTCATGCCACATCTGCCATAAATTCTGCTTTGTTTATCATTAAAATTGCCAAACCTACTTTCTTTCTGTTCACATTTGATTGACATATTGAGCCAAAGCTTTGGTGTTTACCATCTGTCCATTATGCTTTATGTTTGTGTAGTAAACTTCTAGAATTTTTTAAAACATCAAATTTCCTTTTTCAAACCCTTTCCTATGCAATCATTTATTTACACATACAGACATGTAAATCTTTCAAAATCTTGGTTTTCATCCTTTTCATTCTTCACCCCACAGTTACCACCAAAGTTGCTTAGTAACATTCTCCATTATTGCTTTACACTCTTATTCCTTTATCTGCCATTAGTTATCATTTTAAAACACTGAAAGTTTATAGCACGTCTCTGTTCTTAAATTCTATTTAAATTCATTTCCTCTAGAGAGTAACTTTAAACAAGAGTCTCAAAAAGATGTGCAGAGCATGTTTTCTGAGACGTTACCGGCCTGTCAATCTTTTTGCCTGTCCTCCTGAACGACAACTTGGCCAAGCGTGAACTACGGCGCCACATACTGTTTTGTGTCCAAGCTACCCAGCGGACTAATGTTAACTGCAGGATCCTAAGACACTGCTGTACAAAGACAAACAAAACCACCGGGAGGGGCTTTTCACTGTCTCTTCTCTCCTGTCCCTGTTTTATAAGGCTGGGGCCCCAGTTCTACTCACCTTAAGCAGGAACTACATTGTTGCTGCCACCTACCCAAGTCAATGTGTTTCTGCTTTTCCAGAGCAGATTCTCCTGGAGTAACAACTATCAACAGGGCGGATTTAGGCCACACGGACATTAGTCACACTTCTTCATCTTGTCCCACTATACAAGAGTTTATAGAACCATCTTCCAAATTCTGAAATATGCTCATTTCCCACCTTTTGTGACACATGAGGTTGCCGACTTTCCCCATTCATTGACATTTTAGAGGAAAACTGGAAGGAAAGGGTCTACAGGACTTTCATTTCCACAACCCTTTTCCCATAAGTTAACGTATCAACCTGCTGAGAACAGGCACTAGCTTCTCTCCGAAGGTGGCCTTCTCTGACACGGGGGAGTTCATTTACTGACTGAAAGTATGCAAGAGCGCCCAAAGTTGTGAGGGATACAGAAGTTACCCTCATTCTAGTCATTTAAGCCTCTGCTCATTCCTTTTCCCACAGTAAGCTTTCTCCAATTTGTGAGATTTAGACTAAAATTTGCATAAAACATTCAATTACCTATGAAAATCATCACAAGCAAAGGACGAGCCCCCCAGCCTGTGGCTCACTAGCAAAATGCCTACAAATGGGGAAAGCAACAGCTCTGACCCTGTCATATGATTGACTCAATTGCTGTACTTTTTAGCCAAAGAAATCCTTAGAAATTATCTTCGATCAATATTTTTATTTTTCAGATGAGGAAACTGAGGCCCAGAAAGTCATAATGGTAAGTCATCAACAACATATGAAAAGTACACATTTTCAACAGGTTTGTAATTTCCATTTTCATTATATATCCGTTATCTGAATTTATTTAAGTCTGGAATGACCTTCACAGGCATGAAATGAACTAAGGTATCTGTAATTTATCATAGATCTACATGGAAAAGTTATGGTATTATAACTTATTATACTGCCCAAGGCAAAATGCATTCATTCAAAAGGAAGTTGAAGAGCAAGTTCCCATAAAAAGGAGAACAAGGAACAGCCAAGGTTAGTTTCACTTGGTGCATTATTTCCAGTTCTATTAGCCCTGCAAATTCTATGTAAGGTTAAGCCCACAGCTAAAGTAAATTTCATTATATTTCCACAACTGTTCACCTGAGCTGAAGACATTTTAAGTAACAATGTTTTGAATTTTCTGATTCCACAAGTCAGCAGTGGTTGTGGCTAGAAGTGTAATGAATTGCCTACAACATTCTAGACTTGATACCACTGTTACTTAGCCCAAGCATGCACATATCCAGAGGGGCAATCAGAAGAAACAAAGGCCCCTATGTTCCGTAGTGAAGATCCCATAGGAGCACCATGGTAAGAAAGTATGAACTTCAGTGCCAGGCAGACTTTAAATTTAACATCAGCTCTGCCACTCGGTGTCTGAGTGCTGTTTAACAAATCAACGAATCTCTCTGAATCTTAGATAATAAACAGTATCACCTATTTAAAAGGACTAACTGTTCTAAGAATTCACTGAAATACTTAAAGTGACAAGCTCCATGCCCCGCATATGTATGTCTTCAGTACGGTTAGTTTCTTTCCGTGGTAACTTCTGCTAGTGCAGGTAACAGAGGCTGATGATGTATTTGCTCATAGACGCATAAATAACCTCCAGACGACACACAAGAAACTGCTAGGACAAACTAGTTTCCTATGGGAAAATGAACTAAAAAGCGAAGGCACAGGGTAGGAGATTTTCATGGTATGCATTTTTGCACCTTCTGAATTTTGTATTTATTCAAAGAATAAAATTTTAAAAATCAATTGTATATAAAATTTACAAAACAGATGCAAGATTGGTTGAATATTCAAAAATCAATCAATGCAATCTACTACATATTGACAGTTAAAAGGAGAAAAAAAATCACAGGATTATAAACTGATACAGAAAATGCATCTGACAAAATCTGACCCCATTCATAGTAATAACACGCAGAAAAAAAGGTGCAGGGGAACTTCCTCAACTTGACAAACAACTTAAAGGTAGCATTATAAACCTGGTGAAAGACCGAACGCTTTCCCCCAAAGATCAAGAACAAGGCAAGGATGTCCACCTTCCCCATTCCTCTTCAAATAGTGCTGGAAGTTCCTGCCGTGCAGCAAGGCAAGAGAAGAAAATGCCACAGGAAAGTAAGAAATAAGACAGTCCCTATTTGCACATGACATAACTATCTTGTAGAAAACCCCAAGGTATCCACAATAAAAACTCTTAGAAATAATGAGTAGGTTTAGCAAGATCATAGTATGCAAGATCAACTACAAAACTTAATTG